TCTTTCCCTTTAATTCCTTTTTGCTGATCATGATCAACGCTCTTTCCATCTGAGTGCAATGCTTACCATGTGGTTCTGCAGAAGTTGGCTGTAAAGAAATGTCAGCAGCAGTGTGCTTGGCTCATTTCCCAAGATCAAGGTCTAAACTACTACAAGACTACCAAATACGATTTCAGAGAGAAAAAAATGTCACTGACCAAAGATAACTAATTAACCTGTTGATCCAGGGGTTGTGTAGTCACCAGAGATGGTGAAAGGTGTTAAATAAAAAGAAGTTCAGTCATAGGACTTTAGCTATCTAAATTCAGGTGGGAATAGTGGGAAAGAAGCAGATGAAAAATTCTGTAGGTGGATCCAGATCTTCGCTTAAACTAAACACAGGAATAAATTTGTTGTGATTCAGCTGATGTTAAAAAAGGCTAGATTCAGAGGGAGGCATCCTCCCTGTTAAACTTACTAAAAGCATTTCATCAATCTGAAATATGAACATAAGTCTGAGAATGTTTTAGACATTTTTTCAGAAAATAAAGGACTGATTAAATAGCAGTCCTGAGGATCTTTAATGCATTCTTCTGGGAGTGTCTACAGGCAGCTGAAAGGCAACATTCTACGTTCAGCAAATGAATAAAAGAAAACAATAGATGTTTTGTGTCTCTGCAAAGTTGGGGCTTTGTGTCTTAGTTAAGTGCAGAATATAATCAAAGAAATTATAGAGCACTTGTTTTTCCTGAGCCTTTAACCCAAAGAGTTGTTTACCTTCAGTTTGTACGAGTCAAAGTAATGAAATTATTTATGACAGGTATAGAAAAGCCTTTTTTTTCTTTAACTGTTGAACAGCATCCCTGTCACACAGTGTGCATATATAAGATAAAATTAAGCATTTACTTAAATATTTTGATGAGTAGATGTAGACAAAGCATTGATTAATAGTTATAAACATGTAAGTACCTATTAATGAGGACATCTTTAGGAAACCATATGTATTAGGTTTCTCAAGCCAGCCTAGTAAACTGGTTATGCAGTTAAAAAAAAAATTCGCATTCAAATTCTGAAAGCCAAGAAAGTAAAAATAATCTTGAGGGACCAGGTTCATTTCCCATTTTCACTGATGTGGGCTAAAAAAGTGTGAACTCCTTTTCATTTGGTTGGAATTGATCCCAGTCTGAACAAGCAAAGCAGGCAGCAAAATCTGGTCAAACTGTATAAAATATTCTTTTTTCTTTTAAGGTATGAAAGTTTTCATTAAAAAGTAAGGCAGTAAAAAGGTAGGAAGACACTGCCTTAAGTTTCTTCTTCACAGTGCTGAAGATTTATGAGTTAGTTTCTAGGGCAGTTAGAAATTAGGGTGACTAGATCCTAGACCTTGAATGTGAAAATATTGTTCAAAATAAGGTTAATGGGTGGCACAGTAAACAAATTTAAGCACATTTGTACTACATTTTCTAATGCTGCTACCACTGGTATTGAGTCACAGCTCTGAACTTCCAGCAGCATAGATAAGGCAATAGAAGAAAAGTAGCTTTAGAAAAGAAATTTCCGGTTGCCTTGGTAATTGTTTATCATATTATGCAGCATCTTGGATTAACAGATGGCATGGGTGTTAAATAGCCAACCACGGTTACCATACTGTAATGAGAGCCTCAGCCTTTACCACTGAAACTTTGGAACAGTACAGATAGAGTGACAGAAGGAAACACAAGATTTGCACACTCTCGGGAGGACAAGATGAGAATTCAAAATGACTTCCATAAACTGAATAAATGTCAAAAATCAGCAAGTTGAAATTCAATAAAGACAGGTGCAATGGACTGCTCTTAGGAAGGAGAGAACCAATTCACAAATGCAAAATCATCCTTTTAGCTGGCACAGAAGGACAGTGCAAAAACTGGAAGTCAGTAATGTTGGTGCTGTGGTGAGCCAGCCCAGTCTCGGTCTTGCTCTCACAGAGGTATGCATGGGAGCTAGTTATTCTCCTTGGCACAAATGAGACCTCGGCTGCTCAGTCAGTGACTGTACATTTAAGAAGACAAGAGAGGATGGGGAGAGCTTGGATAAATGAATCAAGAAATATGATAGGCTTGAAAATTATGCGCTGTGAGGAACAGTTTAAAGAGTTGAATTTAGTTTATACGGGAAGTATCTTTCACTGTTCTGAAGAGGACTGTGAAGAGGATCAGTTCCTCCGCTCCCTGGAGTCCGCGTCCACCCGTTTCAGCTGCTGCTACTTCTTGTATTGCGAGAAAGAGCGAACAACTGTTTCTGTTCACTCCTTCACCCCTCGCAGGTGAAGCGGGACAGGCGGGTTAGTGGTAATGCAGGGTAGAGACATTTTTGCTCCTAAACGACTCAAGGCATCGAGCGTGTATCTGACTGCTCCCTACCTTTGCTCAGCGCGGGGAGCGGATCTGGCGTCGTTAGTGGCTCGCTCCCCTCTGTGGCAGGGGCAGATGTGATCGAGTAATCCGTTTCTGTGGTAAAATAATCTGCTACAGCTG